AATCTATTAACGTAATAATATAAACTGGTAAAGCAGGTTAGTAGTTCCAGGAATACGGGTTAGTAGCAAAATGATTCTGTCGAATCGACTGCTGGGTATGCTAATAGTAATGTTGTTTCATTGTGTCGTGTCAGACAATTTTTTTTAGAATCCAACTTACACGGTTTTAAATCTACCATTCGTTCTCCCACTGGATATTCCTGTCACATATAAACAACGAATATCCCCTTAGAACGACATTTTACCTTATTTATTAAGTCTGCTCATCCATGCACAATTATCCGAATTTTTTGGAATACCCATTGTATCTAAATAGTCAACCTTGTCACGTTTCATCTTTTTGTGATCAGGCGGGTAAATGCTGTTCTGGTTATTTATACATTCTTGTATATATAATCAGAACAACATTTGGTGAAAAGGAATCATTATCAAATCTTCATAAACGAAGCGAGAATGCAAGCAGTACTTAAACTCTATTGGCGCATTCTAATGTTACTTTTAAGGCCAATAAATAATAAAACCCATGATATCATGGTTTACGATGTATTGGGTTACGTGTGTTAATATTACGATGTATCTGTTATGAATAATCAAGAGTGGTCTCCCTTTGTTTTTCCCTACTCTCTTGATATGTCCCGGAAAGGGATATATTTGTTCGAAGTAGCAAAGTGGTTTTGGACGTCTGTAAACAAGTAAACAAATGGACTGGTCCTCGTCATAGTGGTAGACAATAGCCGTAGGCAATAGGCGTCGTTCATGTGCCTCCACATCAGTCTGTATTTATTTCTGACACCATCCAATCATATTACTGTGAGGGGGAATCCAGGTGTATGAAAGATTCAGAAGCTTATAAACGGAATGAATTCCAATAACCAGCCATTCCTATTCTATTCTGTTCATATATATTGTAGCGTCTTGTCGAACGTAATTTCAACGAAGAAATAAATTGAATAAACATATATTTTTTTCTTTTCTCAATAATTTTGTAGTTTTTAAACTTAATAGTGATTAAATTTGGATTTTAAAATTGCCAGTTTTTAATTTTAATATTAAATTTCATCATATAAATTTATAATTATTGGTTAGTATAAATTATTTTTAAGATTACACGTATTTTAAAGATCTGAATAGCTATTATAACATGATTTCGTTGTCAAGCTTTTGAATCTTTCTATACTTGGTTTTTGATTGGTTATTCTAGCTTTTGTAACAGTGTTTCCCCTAGTGTAGGATCGTTAATTAATCTGAAACTTTTAAAACCATTTATTTTATCTTCAACATCATCACTTGATAAGACACAGAGTGTGTTGAAACAAAATGGCTATTTTTGTAGTGATTTTATAACATACTTATGTTATGATTTTTATAAATAATAATTATATATATATAAATATATATATATATATATATATATATATATATATATATATATATATATATATATGACAAACTGGAACATTTCTTGTGACGAAATGTTCCAGTTTGTCATATTTTTTCGAAATATTCTTTGTTGAAATATACAATTATATAAAATTATATATCACTATATTCTCTCAGGAAATCTGCTTAATCTCTTTGGAGAAAAAGGGTATTTTATAAACAGTGGGTCATACTGCTATTAATGCATTGCTCTTCAACTATGAATTGAGCTCTCCGGGCTACTGGCGTATTTCGTACAGAAAACGTTCAAATTTCCCTTTCACTCTCCCGTGCGACGATAGGATCTCAGATAAATGCCAAATCGGTCGGATTTCGACCCCGACTTGAAGCAATCGGACATCCAGCCACTCTGAAGGGATGCGAAACACTGTGTTTGTAGATGACTATATATATATATATATATATATATATATATATATATATATATATATATATTACTTGAAACGTTATTTTTAGTTGTGATATGTCTCGGAAAGGGATATATTTGAACGAAGTAGCTAAGTGGTTTTGGCTACTATAATCAAGTAGAATATGGTAGCAGTAATCGACTGGTACGCGTCGTAGTCGCAGGTAAGAAGTGTAGATCAATGGCGTAGTCCAATGGGCGTCGTTATAGACTTAGCTCTCAGACTAAGGCTCTTGACTCTGTCGAACCTACACGTCCGTCGGTATTTATGACGGACACCAGCCAATCATATTCCAGTGAGGGGGAACACAGGTGTATAAATATTCAATTATGTCAAGATGATAACGGTTTTTGTGTAGACGCTCCGTTTTTTAAACTGTGTTTATTTTGTCTACATGCCTACACCCTCTAGAAAACTGAATCAAGAGGTGTCCTTCCTCAGAATTCGAACCTGCGTCTCCCTTTGCAAGAAGAACCGCCGTTTGATTCGGTCTGTTTGCTTAAAATTTTTATTGTATTTTTTCGAATCTTTCAAAGCATTGTGCTCGAAGTTGTCCATTTTTTCAAGAATAGTGTGGCGTCTACATCGTTGTATTCTTTAGACGAAAAAATTCTAACATTAATGTGTTTTCGTCAGCCGCAAATAAATTATCCTTGTTAAAATCGATGAATTAAACTTCGCCACGGTAGATCGCTTCCGATTGGCAACAAGACTTCCAGTCGATTATCAGAGGCGGAAACCCACCGGAAATAAAGTCGTCTTCCGTTGTATGACGACGGTAAATGGGCCAAGTGTAGAGGTGCTGATAAGGGTTCGATGAGTTTTACTTAGGGAATCGATACGAAACAATTTGATTTACTGCTTTCGATGTTATCATTGAACAAAGCAAAGCATTGTTTACTAAACTGTTTTTTATATATATATATATATATATATATATATATATATATATATATATATATATATTTATATATTTATATATAATTATTATTTATAAAAAAATTATAACATAAGTATGTTATAAAATCACACTACACACAATGGTTCCTTGTCTTGAAGAAAGAAGTAAGCTTTCCATCTCATTCTTCTGATAAGGTTTTCAGTTTGCAGAGTTAAATGGACGAAATAATCCCTTTTGTTCGTAGTGGGAATGTTCTTAAGTGATACTCCGAAATTGATTCTATCCATATTATAAGAATAGAATAGACAGGACTCGACAGTAATAGGAGCTA